GCCACTTTTCCCACCCTCAAACACGCGTAGCATTTGTATGCTAAAAATGCCCACAAAGTTTAAACATTTTTCATCAAAGGAAAACGAAATAGCCACGTGTGTAATGCTTTATTTAACTGATCGCTTGTTTTAGAAAAGACAAACCTCATCAGGTTGGATTGCATCCTGTGGGTGGGTTGAACCGAGTTAAGACGGTGAAGATTATAAAAATGCTGGCGGTCGTGGTGATCAACTTCGCCATTTGCTGGCTGCCTCTGTTTACCATTTTCAACGTCATTAAATTCTCACCCACTTACTTGGCGTTTGAATTCAACACCTCCACTCCAGCGACCGATGAAGAGTCTTCCACGAGGGGAGAGTGGAACGACGACAATGCGATGAAGGTTATACTCCTTGTGGTACCGTTCGCTCAGTTGCTTGGATCTGCCAACAGCTGCGTCAATCCCTGGATTTACTGCTTCTACTCCAAGAGGTATCGGCGTGGCTTTAAGAGAGTGTTCCTCTGTAGTCCATCTATGAAAGCTGCCTCTGTGCGACTGCCTCCGAGGCCCCACCGAGAAGAAAACCGTGGCCTGTGTAGCGTTGATCGAACTGCCTTAGCTTGACTATCGCCCATTTTAGGTAATGTAACACTCCATTCCGCCATTATTGACAGACATGCATCTTTGCATACCTTTTATTATGTACGCTTTATGGGCTTGAAGAGGTGATACCAGTTAATAAGGCATTGTGGAAATCTACACTTGGCCTATTTTGCAGAGACCGTGATTCCACGCACCAATGAAGTTTTCACAAGTCTCCAAATTAAATGTTTGTTTGTAAAATCCACAATTGCAGCCAGTTAAAAACTGGCTCGTGTGCAAAATTGTCGGCATCCTTAAGGGCTTGCATTCGTTGTCACTGCCTCCAACGTGGTCACGAATGGGGTGTCGTGTGGGACAGCGGCCTCGCAGCAGATTTTATCCACCCAGTTGTTAAAAAGAAGCGCACCTTGCTTGACACCACGTAGTCTTGTTAAGGTAATGCAATTTCCAAAGGCACAAATAAGTTGTGCAACACTTCCTTTTGAATTGGCAATAATATAGAGTGATCTTACAGAGCAGCAGGACGCATGCGGAAGAGGCGTATGCGACCTCCTAAGATCAGATAGGCTTTTCTCCGGAGGAAACTCAACGCGTGTGCGTGTGCGTGTGTGCATTTGACAGTTACACGAGTGCAGCTGATTCGCAAAAATGCATTCTGTAGGACCTGACTACTATCCTGCTTTATCAATGGGAGTTAAAACTTTTCTTAAACTTGAGAGGTTTGTGTCACAAAAGCCAGGCTTCTAGAGTGAGGAGAGAGAGTGATGAATTAATCAACCGAAAAGAAGAGATGGAGGACAGCGTGCACAAAGTCATAGTGGTGGTGGTGGTGGTGGCATGGGAGGAGGAGGAGGAGGAGGAGGAGGAAATCGTGTCTGCTTGTCTTCGAAGGATGGCATCCACCCTTCCTACCTACAGTTACGAGGCGAGTGAATGGAAATGACTTTGGAGCATCGGTGATCGGTAGTTGAGTGGTGAATGTAATGGAGAGAAGAGAGGTAGGGAGGGAGGGAGGGAGGGAAGGAAGGAAGGAA